AGAACACAAAGAATGTCCTTCTCAGCTGCCATAGCTGCAACTCTTGCGTCATCAGAACAGTGTGTTCAACGCACCACCGTTTCCGTTTAAAACACGTTTTGCACCGTTTGTCGGAGCTGAACGCAGCACTGGTGAGCGTGCTACAGGACATGTCTGGTGACGTATCCGCGCTGGACGTGCTGACGCTCGTCGGGAGAGCGGTGTGCGCATGCGCGGCGCTGACAGCCGCACTCTACCTGATCCGCAGAGTGTGTTTAATAATGGCCTGGAAATCCGGAGGAGCGAGCCATGCGGAGCTCGTCAACAACCTCCGCAGTGAGTTTAACCCGTGCTGTGTGTTTAAAAGAGCAAAGTCAGTCATGCTCACTGTAGCGCGTAGTAACCGGGGTTTGTTTACGTCGCTGTAGTGCGCGTCTGTGAGCTAGCATCGCGTTACAGCCGCGGGGAAAGTGCGCTGCGTGTTAGGATCATCCCAGCCTTGCTCCTGCGTCTGCGTCTGTTTCAGACAAGCACATGGCGGCTGCTGTTTAAAACTTACAGTGCGCTTCAAATTTGTCAGCTAGCTGCTAGCAGTCAAATATGTGATCGTCTCTCGCAAAGCACCTGCAAATAGTCTGCTCTGTTTAAACGATCGCTGTAATATATATATATATATGTCTCACTTCGGTTCACATTTTGTATTGGTTTGACTGAACAAACATGGTTTTGTTCAAGTCCATGACACAGCAGCACCTGTGTTAGCATTTCCGCACTGAATCTAGTCGTTCCCGCAGGTATACATATTTGTGTACAATAAAGAATTAGGTACATTTTTACATTAGCGCCAGATTGTGTTTAATCTGTTAAAACGTGCAGTTGTTTAATGGTCGTATGTGCAGGTTTATTTGGAGTCGTTCAGTGGGCGTGGCACACCACATGCTGCCGATGTCATCGTGTGATGACGTCACGCTGGACTTTATGCATCTGCAGTTTAGTATTTTGAGCCTTGATATTATTAATGCTGCGAACATCAGCCACAGTGAAATCGATGTCTAGCTAATATTGACTTTTTTTTTTTTTTTTTTATGCTTTTGGCTTACCTGGAGATTGAGAATTTATCTATTAATAAAATTAGCTATTTTTTTAAACAACAGTTGACCATTGGCCAGAGAGACCAATAATACTCGTCTGGCATGTAACCTATCCTCCTGAACTCCTGGCTTTATTCTGAGGTCAAGTGGTCAGTGTGCTATATTTAGTGGTGCTTGCTAAGACAAGTATCCTTATACTTTTGGCTACAGAAGTAAACAAGTAGTTGTCTACTTGCAAATTCTCCAAGAGGATCTAGCACTCATAGATATTGACGAATTACTAATAGGTCCAGATTATGACTGATGGTCAGGATTCTCTTTTAGATGGATTACTAACCAACATCCATGAGTGTTTAATAATGTGAGAGATGTTGGAAATGCCTCGTGTGTTATTGCCAGTATTGATTTACATCACTAAGTGAGAAACGACTGACTTCCGTTGGTAGGACAAGTTACAAGTTTAAGCTAGCAGTAGGGCTGGGCAATATGGCCAAAAATATGATCACGATAATTTTTTTAATATCAGTCGATATCGATAATTATCATGATAAATGTCAAATCTTTATTTCTTTCAAGTTTAAAGCCAGATTTTTGCTCCACAGTGAAAGTTGTAGAAACCAGACCATTCATTTTCCTTAACAAAATGTTAGTTTCTGCATGTTCTAAGGAGTTATATTGTTTCAAATCAAGAAACAGGTTTGGGTTGCCTGATAATAATAATAATAATATCACTTTTTTTGTCTCTTAGAAATGCACATTGGATAGTAGCTTGAGTTAGGATGTAGAGGTACATTTTTGTTTATGATCAAAATCAGTAACATCTGTAAAAATTGTAGCAACCTCAGTTTTATATGGTTACATTTATTCTGACCATTTTTTTTTTTAATTAAGCATTGGTTTTCCGTAGTAGCATACATTTAAATCATGATAAACAGATAAAACCACGCATATAGCACCTCAGTACCATGGTAGAAATATAACTATATGGTTTTTAGCCTGTATGAAAAACAGTAGTCTAAAAACATTCAGTATAAATGCACACATGCTATAGCTTAATCACAAATACATACTATAATTATATACCATTACTCCTGTAATTAAATTCAGTGTGAATATCCCATATTTGTGCCACAATATGTTTGTTTATGCATAACATTATGTATATGAGGATACTTAACATTAGAGGTTGACCGATATGGGTTTTTCACTGGCCGATGCCGATATTTAGAAATCAGGGCAGCCGATGGCCGATATGTGATGCCGATTTTTTTGGCCGATATGTTTGGTCGATTTTCTTTTTTTTTCTT